AAACCCCCCCCAATTCCCTTCTGTGCCCCCGTGATGAACTTATAGGCAGCCACAAGGTCGCCTCTCAACCTTCTCTTGCGGAGGCTGAAGAGGTCCAGGTGCCCCAGTCTCTCCTCATAGGGCTTGGCCTGCAAGCCCTTAACCATACGAGTGGCCCTTCTTTGGACCCTCTCCAGGTTATCCACATCCCTCTTGAAGTGTGGCACCCAAAATTGCACGCAGTACTCCAACTGCGGTCTGACCAGCGCCCGATAAAGGGGAAGTATCACCTCCTTGGATCTGTTCGTCATGCATCTGCTGATGCATGATAAAGTGCCATTGGCTTTTCTGATGGCTTCGTCACACTGCCGACTCATGTTCATCTTGGAGTCCACTAGGACTCCAAGATCCCTTTCCGTTTCCGTTCCACCAAGCAGGTCATATCCTAGGCAGTAGGTGTGCTGGACATTTTTCCTCCCTAGGTGCAGCACTTTGCATTTCTCCTTGTTGAATTGCATTCTGTTGTTTTCTGCCCATTTGTCCAACCTGTCCAGGTCTGCTTGTAGCTGTTCCCTGCCCTCCGACGTGTCCACTTCTCCCCACAGCTTTGTGTCATCCGCAAACTTGGACAGAGTACACTTCACTCCCTCGTCCAAGTCGCTGATGAAGACATTGAAGAGTATCGGTCCTAGGACCGAGCCCTGCGGGACCCCACTGCCCACACCCTTCCAGGTCGATACTGACCCATCCACTACGAATACCGACCCATCCACTACGAGCTAGTGGCCTTAAGGCATGCCACTTTCTACCACTAACAGCACAAAAAGAGTGATGTAGTGGCCATCACATCTGGCCACTTTGAGTCCCCAGCCTGAATGACAACATACCCACTTCACTTATACCTGGGTTGGCTGGGGGCAACTTTGGTACAAGTCTAGAACAGGGCTTGCACTCATGTGTCTAGAGTCATAATGAGACACCTTACCTGTTCTGTCATCTCATCCTGACATCCTGCATCATTGCTACCTTTCATGCATGTCCTCACCAATGCCAGCAGCTAGCTGCTCCATTTTGATGCTGCTTTCCTTGAATCACATGCTTCTTCAGCATTTGCCCTTGATTAGATTCAGTGAAACCCCTGGTTATTCCAAATGAGTAGCAAACAGATTTACAGTAGCTGGAGAAGGGACTGAATTAAAACATTTATGTAAACCCCCACCCCCATCTTCTAAGTGGCAGGAGAAGCACACTGCAATGCACAGTTAAAAATAACTCAGTGTTAACAAAGACCATAACACTTTAGTCTCCACCTCCAGCAAATGGTGCCCTCTCAGCTGTACATGCTTAACTCCACATGAATTTCTCATAACTTGCAGGGGGGAGGGAGGAAATTATTATTCTAACGTTACCAATGAAAGCAAAGGGCTGACAAGTTAACAAGCTTCATCTAAAACAGCTACCTTGTGGTAAAGAAACAAAATACACCTTAATCTCTCTTGAATTCCAGACCTTAATTGTCCCAGAGGAAGTTCTCTCCTACTCACCTTCGCATTGCGACTTGTCCCACAATCACTCCAGGCATGCAGGGAATGGGACAAATGAGTAGAGCCCTTGACATGACAACCATAGGCTAAAGGGTGATAATTAGATCAAATTATCAGCATGCACATTCTTCACAGTTACAGAGACAGCTGAGGCATTTGGAGAAGGGGGGAACTCTGAGGTCACTCAAATATCCATCCCATCTGGCTAGAGTGAATGCTGTCTGATGCCCAGGCTCATTGCTTTTGCAGATCAAAACCAGGGGACTAAAAACTGAAAAACAGCTAGTGTGGTGCATATTCAACAGAAAATACTTTTTGTGATCTGAGAAAGAACCCAGCCTGGGTTCCAACCGCCATTACTGTGACAGAAGTTTGGTAGCACAAATATACAAATAAACCCTGAATTTGGGTCTGACCTTAGGATTTGGATAGAAGTCAAACAATCCCCTTCCATTCCCACGTGGAAAGAACAAAGGCTTTACTACAGCAACTCTGTTAACTGATACTATTACTTATGCTGTTCTCTCTCTGTGATCAGTGTTTGGTTCCTGGCACTGACCAAAGCATCTGGTCCTGGCTAGATCAGATGAGATAACCAGGCCAAAACGGAACCAGGCTCAACCCAACCCTTCTCTGAGGTTTGAAATGCCTAGCTAGCATTTTTGCCTTCGTTTTATTTAAACATTTTTGCTCATCTCTGCATTTCTTTGACATTGGCCAGTACCTGAAGTGTAACAGCACAATAGAAGCTGTTCTCATCATATTTCCACCTAAGCCAAACCACAGAGTAATGGAAGTTTCATCCAAGATGAGTTCAACTTTATGAAATTTCCAGAGCTCTTTCCAGACCCAAAGCATTTGATGAGCTTGGATAAACTCTGCATAACTCTTTGAACTTTCTAGTCTGTAAGTAAGCTAAATCAAGGGTACCCAAAAGTATTAGGCATTCAACAGGAGTTGAGGACATAACATCTTCCTGTGCCTTTGAAAATAGCAGCCTGCATCCTAGAAGTTTTATTCAGTACTAAAGTGACAAAGGTGATGGGTCCTTCTAGTATCTTTCCAGAAACAGTGACCCAAATTCTGCCAGTATGCACCAGTATACCTGGAGAAACTCCAGTGAAGTTGATGGTGCTATACCACTGTAAGACAGAGGAGAGTTAGACCTACTGGGTTTAAACAAAATGAAAAGATTACCATCAGAGAAAAATATTAGCCTCTTATGACAAAAGCTGTAAAACTAGCTCATGGCTTTTGAGTTCACATTGTAACTCTGCTAGAGAAACAGGAGGTTGCTGGTTTGGGTGAAGTCATGAATCCATGAATGACTATGCCGTTCAATCCCACTAAAGCAAAGTTTGCTATAATAAAGCAAGGAGCAAGGACAGTACGTGATGCAATGACAGCGTAGGGGGAAGTAGAAAAGACAAGCAAATATTGCCGCTTGCAGTGACATATTGCAAGTGGACAATTAAACAACAAAGCCAAACTGTATTAACTTGACCCAGATTTGAATGCTTTCCTAAATAGTTTCAAATTCCTACACTCTTAAAGAAAAGAAAGTCATGTCTGCTGGTTTCATCTTTGCTCCAAGGTCCAGATCAACAGCTGGCATCACTCAGCACGTGCCTTCAATTCCACTCTATTCCAGCGATATCCCACTTCAGCTATGCAACTTCCACCACCAAAATCTGATTGCCATACACCATATTTCCTTGCATACAACCTGTACCTTTCCTAAAAATGAGCTGCTGGAAAGTGGGGGTGTGAGAAATATGGTAAGAGCAGTTTCTGCCACTTACAGGTCAAAAGCAAAAGTAACTCTACATGTGACCCACAGGAAGCAAACCAATGAACAGGCTTGGCTCCCTAGCTACTCTACTCACTCACTTACTACAAGGAAAGATCTCTTTTTCTTCACTCTCTTTCAAAAGCAAAGTGCATGTCTTATTTCAAGGCACATTGTATGCAAGAAATTACAGCATTTCTGAACATCCTAGGAATGGGGTGTTTAGCAGAGCATGATACCAAAGTGAAAAGGAAAAAAACAAACAAATTCTGGGAGGGTGGCAAAATGACTGGCTTGTACAAACATGTGATATGGGAACACTGATCTACCATAAAGAACTGTTGGAATTCACGGTTGTTTACTCATGGTTATGTCTCAGTTATTGAAGGAGTAATTAAATACTACAGCAATTGGATGAGAGACTTATTCCTTTCCATAGTATTATAAGCATCAAATACTTTACAGACGTATACAGAGACATGATCTTTAGTTCTCCTAGCGTGGCAGCTTGTCCATTGGACTTATGCTTGGTTGATTAGAAAGACTGCAATGATCGTCATTGTGCAATTCATATCCCCTCAGACAATTGAGGATTGCGTAAAAGAGAATGAAAGAGCTAACTCATATATCCAAGGAGCTCAATCCCTGCTGACGCTAGTGGGAGTCTTTGCATTGACTTCATGGACAGTGGATCAGTCTCTAAGTGCATCACTTTAGATTACTAACAGGCCACTGTGCACTGTCTCTGGCTGACACAACTACATGTTGGTGGATCTGTCAGACAAGGTTCAAGAGGGCAAGGCTTTGCCAGGTTAGAAAATGTTTTGAAAACTGATAGCTGTGATGACTCTCAAGACCTACATTTAAAGTATGATATTTTAGCTATGTTCAGCAACAGCAAAACCTACAGCAAAGCACTCAGTACACCATCTGCATTGCATGCTAGGAACTATCAGCTTGCTCTCAAATGAGCAGAGGTGGATAGGGGGAGGAGAATGGACATGCCCCCGGAGGCATGGGTTTAGCTTGCCTGAAGAGTTTAGCTGTATGTTCCCAATTTAGGCTCTAATCCTACTAGTGGGCAGGATTAACCTGGTGGCTGTGCAGCATTACTCTTGAAGCAGGCTCCAGCTCCTCAGCATTTCATGCCCTGCTTGGCATCATTTCCCTTGTGCTGCTACTCACAAAATGCTCCTTACTTCCATTGTGCAGAATTAATCCCACTGTCTAATTCCTGTGAATCCTCTAAAACAAGCACCACTTCTCGCATGGGGTTTTTTACAGGTTGTTGGACTACACTGGTTTTAGGTTTGGAATTGAGACATATGGAAAGAGAGAAACTATGGTATAATTAACCCCCGTACCTATTTTTGAAGTACTGTCCTCCTGTTTTGCATCTGATGCCGGGGTCTCTACAGGGCCTTTACACAGTATAGGTTTCAGAGAATCAAACTGGTGCTGTACTCACTTCTAATTCATCTTTATATGCAAGATGAATGTAGAGAACCTCTTCTGTGCAAAATTATATGGAAGGGGAAAATGTAAAGCAACATATCTGTGTCTTTCGAAGTCCCAGAATACCAAAGCATTCTGCTCTGAGAAACAGGAGGTCAGCAGACAAGACTCCAAAGTGCTTGGAAGCCAAGGATCATGGGACTTCAGCTCTGCATTCAATTGTACTTCCCTATCTGCTTAATTTATATGTTTATTTAACATCTATATGAATCAAGGCAAAAATATTTCATAAAAACAGAGAACTTGGCTTCATATATTCAAATATATAAAGAAGATGATAAACCCAGCACAAAAATTGGCTAGTTCAGAGAACTGGCAATGAAATAGGAGCTATCAGCCTATAGGCCTGGAGCAAGAGTGACTGAAAGTTATTACTATCTGGCAGAGCTTTGGGGATTTTCCTAAAATGAGTTAATGTTCATGAATATGGGATTAGCAGCATGATGCAGGGTCCTTATTCTCATTAGAGTTTGTTATGCTCCTACCAACAGGGACAGCAGAAGAACTGTCCATGTGCATAAAGGATCAAATGCTCAGGTGGACCAAAGCAAAGGAGCTATTATAATCTGCACTGAAAGAGAATATGCCCTTAAGCCCCTAGTACAGATAAACATGTGCAAGAAAGATAGTAGATCAATTGGCTAGGAACCACAGTATAGCTAGCTAGGACTTTCAAATGAGCTTAAGGGAGTTAGGCACCATATAGCAGCACTATGTATTCCCCTGCTTCTTCACTTCCAGCTGCCTGTTTGTCAGCTAGTCAGTAAATCAGAACAATAACTGAACACTGTAGTTGAAATTGTAACTGTGACAATGTCAAGAAAAGCCATACATGGAGCATATTCAGCACGCTGATGAAAGGTGACACTTGGTCCTCCATGAACTAAGCTGCAGCACTAAGAGCATCCTTGCAAATTCCATTGTCATCAGGAAGTTGTGAACACATCAGTGTCCTTGAACATAACAGTGATGAATTTTACTAGACTCTGACAAAAATATACAGAAACCTGAGCTCAGGTACACCTGTCTAAATTGTCAAAAACGACGAAGAGATTAATTGCTTACAATGTAAAAGTACTTTCATGAGGAGATAATACTTACAGTTAATTCAGTGAAGAAAGCCAGGGCTGAAAGCTGAATTCCAGCAAATTCAATTAGAAATGAAAGTACAGGTTTCCAACAGTAAGAATGATTAATCACTGGAACAAACTACCAAGAGAAGTGCTGAGTTCTCCATCTCTTTAAGTCTTTAAATCAAGACAGGATGCCTTTTTGGAAGATATGC